ACCATTTGATCGATATCGTCTCTCAAATGAACATCGAACTGGTCGTGCAACATCTATTTCTTTTGATTTTGGTAAAGATCTTTCACATGATTTTCTTATTCATGCATCATCAAACAACATATCACTGGAACATCTCACATTTGCTATTTATTTCATCTTTCTATTTAAATTAACTAATGGACAAACAGATTTATGTCTGACTATGAACATCAATAATAATCGATATAGAGATGAACTCAAATCAATCATCGGATTGTTTGAGAATGTCATTCCATTACGATGTCAACTAGATCCTCACTGGTCTTTTCATCAATTACTCAAACATGTTCGAGAGATAATAACAAAGAGTATAAAATATTCATATTTTCCACTTCAACGTATTCTCAATCAACATCCACATATTTCAAAACATGCATTTCAGGATACATCTTTGGAATTTATATCATGTATTAAGAACAATGAAATTATGATTGATGATTCTCAACTTGTTCCAGGATCTTTCTCATTCAATATTAGTGAGGATGAGATACTAAGTGTATCTGATTTCTCCCTTTCATTTCATCATGATATGAACATCAATCAACTATCATGCACAATTAATGCATCACTTGACTTATTTAATAGAGACACAGTGGAGAAGATTTCACAACGATTTCATTCTATTTTACACCAATTATCAGCATCTATTATCGACAGTCAAATAAACAAACCAATCTATGAAGTATCATTAACATTATCAAATGAACAATATCTGATACAATCATTGAATAATACACAAGTATCATTTTCATCTCCTCTCACTTGTATACATCATGAGTTTGTATATCAAGTCATACAACATTCACAAAAACTAGCTGTTGAACTAGATGAACAATCATTGACATATTGTGAATTGTTACATTATGTTCAAGTACTATCTTTAACTCTTCTTAATGAATATCATGTGTTTCCAGGTGAGATCGTGTGTCAATGTGTTGAGCGAAGTTTGTCAATGGTAAGTTAATTAAGATGAGTAACAATGAATGTGAGTTTGAGATTGATTTTGATTAGGTGATTGGTATTATGGGAATTGAAATGGCAGGTGGTGTTTATTGTCCATTGTCGCCTCGAGATCCACAACATCGTTTGCATGCACTTACACAACAAACACAAAGTCGTTTTGTTCTTGTTCATTATGCAACTATAACCAAACTCGACGATGACATTGTTTCACTTGATATTGATTCGATATTAAATGGCAATGATATAGATAAGAAAGGTCTTTCGAATGTGATCCTGAAAGGGGAAGATATAGCTTACGTTATTTTCACTAGTGGTTCAACTGGAATACCCAAAGCGGTTTGTTTTGACTTCATTTTTAGATATCTGATTTATTTTCATGCTCTTTCGTAGGTTCAAGTTCGACATAAGAATTTTATTGATTGTATCAATTCTTTGACTTATATCAACTCATTTAATAAAGATGATATAGTTGTACAAATGACAAGATGTTCATTTGACATTCATGTTCAAGAGATACTTGGTACATTGTTGGTTGGAGGCACATTAGTTGTGCTTCATCCAGGTGGAACTATCGATTT